TCTGTCTCACCACGTCTCTGTCTCACCATGTCTCCATGTCTCTGTCTCACCATGTCTCTGTCTCTCCATGTCTCTGTCTCACCATGTCTCCACGTCTCTGTCTCACCATGTCTCCATGTCTCTGTCTCACCATGTCTCTGTCTCAGAGATGAGCTGACTCTGGAGGGCATCAAACAGTTCTTTGTTGCTGTTGAGAGGGAGGAGTGGAAGTTTGACACTCTGTGTGATCTGTACGACACTCTGACCATCACACAAGCTGTCATCTTCTGCAACACCAAGAGGAAGGTCAGACACACACACACACACACACACACACACACACACACTCACACTCACACTCACACTCACTATTGACCTGACCTTTAATTGAGACCTCTAATGGTTTTTGACTGGTGTGTACCAGTGTGTACTTGAAACATACCAGATGTGAAGTGTGTGTCAGAAAAGCATTTCTTCTGGACAGATGTTGTGTTGACTGACCTGAGGGACATCTAGTGAGTGTTGTTGTGTTGCAGGTGGACTGGACATGTAGTGTGAGTGTTGTGTTGTTGTGTTGCAGGTGGACTGGACATGTAGTGTGAGTGTTGTGTTGTTGTGTTGCAGGTGGACTGGACATGTAGTGTGAGTGTTGTGTTGTTGTGTTGCAGGTGGACTGGACATGTAGTGTGAGTGTTGTGTTGTTGTGTTGCAGGTGGACTGGCTGACTGAGAAGATGAGAGAGGCCAACTTCACCGTGTCCTCCATGCATGGAGACATGCCTCAGAAAGAACGAGAGTCCATCATGAAGGAGTTCAGGTCTGGAGCCAGGTGGGTCCCTCAGAGACTAGGACAGAGACACGTGAGGACACAGACGCGAGGACAGAGACACGTGAGGACACAGACGCGAGGACAGAGACACGTGAGGACACAGACGCGAGGACGGAGACATGAGGATGGAGACATGAGGACACAGACATGAGGACAGACAAATGTGAGGACAGAGACACGAGGACACAGACGCGAGGATGGAGACATGAGGACAGAGACATGAGGACAGTGAGACACTGTCAGGAGGACGTTCAGCTGTAAACTTGTTTGTGTTTCAGTCGTGTCCTGATCTCCACTGATGTTTGGGCTCGAGGGTTGGACGTCCCCCAGGTGTCCCTCATCATCAACTATGACCTGCCCAACAACAGAGAGCTGTACATCCACAGGTAGGCTCACCTGAGACACTGAGACRCGCTGTCATGTCCTCTGAGCAGGAAGCAACTCTTCAGTTTTATTCTGAAAAGTTGGACCTCTGAACCTGATGGAGTATAAAGTGAGGGGCGGAGTTACCTGGACAAGGTTAAAGTGTTAGGCTCCGCCCAGTCATCAGTGTGTGCACCATAGAGCTAATCAGAGCCTGTGATCTGGTCCAGGATYGGCCGGTCGGGTCGGTACGGCAGGAAGGGCGTGGCCATCAACTTTGTGAAGAACGATGACATCAGGATCCTGCGGGACATCGAGCAGTACTACTCCACCCAGATCGACGAGATGCCCATGAACGGTAGGAGCTGCTGCTGACCGTGGACACACAACATTACCTGCTCCACACTCACACTGTCCTCCTCTCTGCAGTGGCTGACCTGATCTGACCTGGATGATGTCACAACACAGCCACGCCCCCTGACTTCCTGTTGCTTCTTTCAGTTTGTTTTGTTCATTGATCTGTTCACAGCTGGTTTGTAAATAAACTGTTTGGTTTTCACAGCTTGTTGTTACTGAAGCTGAAACAGGAAGTGGTTGAAGAGAAACGCCCCGTCCCCCCCGCACAGGTACAGATGGTCAGGTGGGGCGTTGGGTTTAGGTTAGGTGTACGGTCAGGTAGGTGGTACCTGTGAGGTCAGGTTTAGGGGTGTAAATTGAAGTCAATGCCCGGTCCCGACAGAGATACTAAAACAAAMCTGTGTTTCAGTTAAAATCATTTTATTTTGAAGGAGACACAGTTTGACATAAAAACATGGTAGAAAAATTCCTGTAAAACTTGAGAATCCTGTTTCTGTCATTAAACACAGATTATGATGAGTGAGGGGGCGGAGCCTCCATTCACACCTGAGCATGCGCAGTACTACAACACACGACACAGTACTACACAAGACAACGTGAGGTCACCTGGGTAACGGAGCTGCTTCGTGTGGCACAGGTGACTTCCTGTACAGTGAAAGGATCAGGAGCATGCTCTGATTGGTCCATCAAAGTGGGAGGAGCCTAGCAGGTGGGCGGAGGCTACGGGTCTCTGCGGATGAACCAGATCTCGTTGCGGCGCCGCGGCGCTCCAGGGTTGTCGTACACAGCCACCATRTAGCGGTCTCGGTGGAAGTGGTCCCCCGGGTCCAGGAGCTCCCAGAGGAGGCGGATCTGCCGGCCCACCGTCTCCTCCGTGGTGGTCCCAAAGAACGTCCTGCACCAATCAGAGTGGCCCGTTAGCACTGCGGACTGGAACAGCAGAGCAGAAAAGGTGAGCTCACCTGGCGAGCACTCTGATTGGCTCTCTGTGGACCACGCTGATGTCAGGGTCCGAGGACTGCGGGGGGCTGCTCTGGAACTCTGCGGGCAGGTAGAACGCCGTCTCCACGCTCTTCTCAAACGTCCCCTCGTCGTCCACCTGGATGCTGCTGACCACAGGTACCGTCATACCCAGGTATCTACCTGTCGAGGTCCAATCAGAGGGTTTGCTGTCAGTGATGTCATCTCACCTGTGAGAGGGTGACTCAGGTGTGCAGGGGGCGGAGCCTCACCTGCAGAGTTCTCTTTACAGATGAAGCGCATGAGCTTCATGAAGGCCATGGAGATGCTCTGCTCGTACAGCTTCTCTCCTCGGGTCACGCAGACCCAGTTACCTGCCGGGCAGAGCCGCTCCTCGTACAGAACCTCCCCCATCTGGACCGGGACACAGACCAGAACCAGAACCAGGATTACAAGACTAACCAGGGGAGCCTGACCTGGGAGGTGTGACCTCCTGACTTCAGCTTCCTGTTCAGCTGGAGTTCTGATGAAGACACAACTCGGTCCCAAAGGCCCAACCCAGGTCCGGTTCAGTCCAGAACCGGTCCTGTGTCCAGGTTCTAGTCTCTTACATTCTCGTGGCGAGACACCTGGACGAAGGGGACGGGCTCCCTCTGCTGGCTGTTGCGGGTCATTTCCTGGATGGGTCCTATCATTTCTGGAACAACAAACACCTGGGAGTTACCTGAGAGGAGGCGGAGCAACGCAGATACAAGGCCTCGCCCCCTCACCTGGAGCAACTGACACCTGGTGGGTGCTGGCGACGGCCTGCCAGTGACTCAGCAGCCGCTCTCCGTCSTCCTCATCCATTGGCTCAGGGTTGTCGCTGATGTCATCGTCCAGCTGCTCGTCCAGTCCTTCCAGGTCTTCAAGGGAGATCAGAGCCATCGCTCCAGGTGATGTCAGTGTGGGGGCGGGGCCTCTGTTTTACCTGTACGGACAGGATAGGATGATTATTCAGTGTTTGTTTATTAAACAAAAACAAAATGAAGTCTGACGTCACAACGAAAAGATTCTAAGTGGTTATTATGATCCTATAAATCCTCCAACACATCAACTCACCTGAGCTAAATACACAGCCAGGTTTGTTTGTAGCATGTAGCATGTAGCGTTTCACTGGACCGGTTGATGACAGGATTCAGTCTGTCTTTCATCACTATGGAGCTAAATTGCGATCATAAGTTCAAAAAATATATTAAACTGAAAAAAAATTAGAAACTGAAGAAGTTTCAAATATCTTTTCAGTTTCAAACACTTTATTTTGAACAAAACTTATGACCTCGATGTAGCTCCATACATCACGGTTGCAACAGATGTGGATTTTTATTCCAGGAAAAACAAAATGGAGATTAGAWGAATTCTGTAGAAAATAGGTCTGTTTTTAGGTCCACAGGTTAATATATGAGACAGACGTGAGGTCAGTGTCAGATATTTATTATCATCATCATTACCTCTGTGAAGGAGGTAATGTTTTCGGTCGTGTCTGTCTGTCTGTGGACAACATTACTCAAAAACCTGTGGACAGATTGTCATGACATTTACACCACAAGTGGGTACCGGGCCAAGTAACACACCTTTAAATTTTGGTGATGTTCCGGATCACGATGCAGATACAGGAATTTTTTTTTTCTTTTAATCCTCTCAGACGGCAAAGCTGTGATGCTTTCACAGGGCTTCTGTAAAAAAAACTGACAGCTTTCAGTGTGGACTTCAAACTTTACATCTGGTTTTAACAATTTTTATAATGATGAATAATTCTTGCCATACGCATTTTTACACACTTAGTGCGCGTTTAGAGAACGTTTTGTGACCAGGAACTGCAGCATGAAACCTATTTTTCCCATTTCTTCAAACACACCACATTKTGGTAGGCTTGTACACAGATCGATGAAGATTGAGGAAGAGGAGTGATGTGGTGGACTTCAGACTCTGAGGTTGTTTGTTTGTTCAGTTTAATCATCATTTAAATGAGACCAGATCAGGTCCAGAGCTCTTTGTGAGCCCCTCTATCACCTCTCACCAAACTTTGGGGGGAAAGAATGTGCAGAGGGTGGTTGTGACCACTGAGTGTGGTCCTCACAAAGATAAGAAGACGCCTGTGTGTGTCTGTGTGATTAGACACACGATTAAAACTGCTTTTTTTAAATCACGTAGCACCGATGTGAAAGATTTCAACAACAACGTCAGGTGACCAGTCTGACWTTATTTTCACATTGGACTCCAGCAGAAGAAACCCCATCATCCTGCTGCTTAAATGTTCACTACTAATGTTCACTACCAATGTTCACTACCAATGTTCACTACTAATGTTCACTACTAATGTTCACTACCAATGTTCACTACGTCACAACTTATTCACCAAATGTGTTTCATCCCTGATGACTATTAACTTACAGGATGGAGGAAATTGGACTTGGCAGAGGTTTGCACTCTCCCAGTGCTTAAAGTTGTTGTTAATGAACCGGTTTCTCAGTAATAATCAGTGACAGCTACCGGAAGTGTTTTACTTTGAAAATATGTTAAGCTGTAAGGTCTTATTTTGTTAACACATTAAATTACACACACAAAACATCCGTTCTGACCCGTTTTCTAATTATCCGAACCAAGTCGCATCACCAGTAGATCCAATAATAAATAAACCCGCATTCCTGTTCCGAACGGTTCGGTTTGAACAGAACCGGATCCATACAGAAAGTAGGTCACGGCTAAAGCGAGTCGGTACTTTATAGAAACCCGGTCCAGACCTGCCCCAAAGGACCCACTAGTCTGGTCTGCTTCAGTACAGCAACCCGAGATCCCCGACCCAAAGCCACCATGGACCGGAACCGGAGCGGGTTTAGTTATCATATTTAACTGGGACCTGCTAACCGGGTTGGTTTGGGTTTAAGAGCAGAACCTCCGCTGAGGTGTGCACTGAGTGGACCCTCTTACCGGATTCGAGTCGCACCTGTCCGCCAGGTCCGCAGCGTCCAACCTCACGACAAGCAAACCTTCTTCTTCTCTACTTCCGGTCGCCTGCCCGGTACAAGCGCTTCAAAATAAGAGCGCACAGGTCACGAGCGTGATGAGTCACGTGACAAGCTGACAAAAAAAAAGGGGGCAGGGTGCTCCCAGAGCTAGCCACTCCCACCACACCTGACCACAGACAGGTGAGCTAAAATGGGCGGAGCCTCCGGCAGCTGAATGTYCTGCAGCTTCCACCTTCTGTTAAAATCCACCAATCGACTGGTCCAAGTTTATTTCTGTCGAACATTTTATTTTTCAACATTTGGAATCCTACTGGACTCTTCCAGACTCTGAAGGTTCAAGACATGAAACAGATTTATTTCAACCCACTGGTTTTCAGAACAAAGTTCTTTAAAGAGCAAAAAGGAGAATTGTTCTGTTAACACTGAATGAGAGAAGCATTTGATCTAACAATTTGATGCAAACGGAACAGAACCACGAACATTTCCTGGTATGTGTGTCATGTTGACCCCCCTGCAGACAGGGTGTGTTCCTTTGCAGAGATGATTTGTTGAGTGTTTCCAGGATAAACAAAATTCCAAGGGTCAATATGAAACCTGAACAGCAGGGGGCTCTTCTTTTTCATTTATTCATTTCATTAATAAACAAACTCTATCATTGTACATTTTATATTTCTCCATGTGGGCATTGTTACGGTTTGAATGTGTTTCTGAGCACAGCTGTGGTTCTGTTTGACAGAAAGACCTTTAATAGACCATCACAGGTGCTGAGGGGATTTCAGGAATGACCGACAAACAAGCAAAGCTGTTGTTGATGAAACACTTATCTTAAGACATGAAAGACTGTCTCAGGTCAGGTCTGACCTGTGGGCCTTTCCTGACAGTTACCTCCATGACCTTTACCTGTACTGGGTCTAACATGTCCTACCTGTGCAGACTGCTGGGTCTCACACTGAGTGGTCCATATCATCTTACAGAAATGTGTGATTCAGAAGTGGAAAGATAGACCATGTATGAAGTGGGCAGTTTGGGTGGGACACAGCCAGCCTCACCTCCTCACTAACTAACCAACACCTCCCTCCTCACTAACTAACCAACACCTCCCTCCTCATTAACTAACCAACACCTCCCTCCTAACTAACTAACCAACACCTCCGTCCTCATTACCTAACCAATGCCTCCCTACTAACTAACACCTCCCTCCTCATTAACTAACCAACACCTCCCTCCTAACTAACTAACCAACACCTCCCTCCTAACTAACTGACCAACACCTCTCTCCTAACTAACTAACTAACCAACACCTCCCTCCTCATTAACTAACCAACACCTCCCTCCTCATTAACTAACCAACACCTCCCTCCTAACTAACTAACTAACCAACACCTCCCTCCTAACTAACTAACTAACCAACACCTCCCTCCTAACTAACTAACTAACTAACCAACACCTCCCTCCTCATTAACTAACCAACTAACCAACACCTCCCTCCTAACTAACTAACTAACTAACCAACACCTCCCTCC